TTTTGGCTTTTTTTTCCCTTTGTCACCAAGGGCTGAATCCAGGGCCTTTGTACTGAGATACATCCCAGACCTTTTTATTTTTTGTTTTCAAATAAAACAAAATAGTCCAGGCTGGCTCAAACTTGGATCCTCCTGCTTCAGCTGCCAAGTGGTGGGCTGACAGCATGTTCCGGTGCCTGCTGCTTCTTGGCCTCTCTGATGGGACATTCTTTACTTTGTTCTCAGAGCTGCAGAGAAGCTCATGACTCAGATGCTCAAAAGTGGGGAGCATGAGGCCTCACCCAGTCTCTGGGGAGACCCACCAGGGACGGGGTGCTGTAGCGCTGCGCAGAGTGCTGGGCCGCCCGCCTGTCCCCTGTTCCTGGGCCGGCCCCTCCGTGTGCTGGAGGCAGCCTTCCTGGAGTGTGGAGTGGGGTGTGTGCTGGCTCTACCTGCTCAGGGTGTGCTGATCAGGCACTGCCACCCCTGCAGGCCTCATGCAGAAGCCGAGGTCTTAGCTGCGGGGAGCAGATGGTGCCACCAGGAGTGTGGGCGGGGCTGGAGTGGCACCGCCCGGAGCTGCAGGAAGAGCCCTGCTGGCTCTTAGGGTCAGGGCAGCTTCTGTTCCCTCAGTGTCCTGTGGGGCTCTCAGGCCCCGTGTGCCCGCAGCCCCAGGACTTTTGCCCCTGCCATGCTTGCTGTCCTGTCCTTTGGCATCTCCTCGAGCCGTCCCCAGTGCCTGTCCTCAGCCTAGTGTGAGCTGCCAGCACCTTGTCCATCTATCTGTCGGGCCAGCAGTGCATGTCCCACACGTGTGGGCGGTGCCGGCTGCCCCCGAGTTGGGAGGGAGGCAGGACGTGTGGTGTGGCTGGACTGGCCTCTGGCAGTGCCGGGCAGGTGCCAAGCGTGGGTCTCACAGAGCTGACTGCCAGGCCCCAGGGAGCCGAGCTCCGGCTGCGGCCAGGTGTGAGAGTCCACCTGACTGTCGGGTGCTTATGCCACCTGCCTCGGGCTGGCAGTGCCCTGCCTGTGCTCTCTGTGCATTCTTGAGCCTCACTTTCCCTGTCTTGGCCATGGGAGCTTCGCAGTGCAGGAGGCCGTCCCGGGGTCGAAGAGCACTGGTCTGGGAGTTATTCCTGTGCTCGACCCGAGTGCCCTGAGCGCCTCCACCACACCACATGGCTCTCCCAGCCCTGGGGGTGACAGTGTGGCAGGAAGGAAGCACAGACCCTGTGAGGGGGCCTGTGATCAGCTGCTGGGGCGAGGTACACACAGCAAGGTGGTGGCTGTTCCTGGGCAGAGACGGTGCCTGTGCAAAGGTCCTGGGGCAGGGGAAGGCTTGGCTGGTGGAGGGACCATGCAGGGCCCACATGCTGGAATGAGGTAGACAGGGATAATAGAGGACCCCTCAGGCACCCCACACCTCCGTCCCCTCTGCAGAGTGGCCCCACACAGGGATCGCTCAGTGGCAGCTGGCTGTTCCCCTTAATCTCATTAGAAGGCCAGCCTGTTGCCATGGCGACTGCCCATGGGCCTGGCCTGGCCAAGGCCAGCTCTGTCTACAGATGAGGCGGGGCGGGGGGATCCCCTTGTTTTGTGCAGCCCAGGAGACGGGCTGCCCAAGCATCTTCCTATGCAGAAGTGGACGTGCCACCGCACCACGGGGACCCCACTGAGCCCGCCCTCGGGTGCCATGGGGGGCCCTCAGGGCAGCCCGCAAGGCCACCCTGTGCTCAGGGCCCTGGTGGAGGTGGAGGGAGGATTTGTTCAGGGCCCTGCCGGAACCAGGTGCTGTGGCCCCAGGAGGGCTCTGCCAGGGCTGTCGGTCACGCAAGGTCCAGGCTGGGCTCCAGGCTGCGTGGCATGGCCTCCCCTGCTGGCGGCCCTGGTTCTTCCCATCAGGCCTCAGTTTCCCATCTGTGCCGTGCCGCCTGCTCTCTCTGAGGGGCCGGTGGCCTCATTGTGTTCCCCGCTCTGTGTCCACACGCTTACCCCAGGGCCTGGCAGTGGGTGTGCTGGGCATGAGGGTCCTGTGGGTGCGATTAGGGGTCTCTGGGGGAGCCCTCGGCACTGGCTCAGGTCCCTCCATGCAGCGGCCTGCTGCTCACCCCGCTTCTGCTCAGGGACTTGGCCCCTTCCGTGGAGGCCTCAGTGCCCTCACTGCCCATCCCCTCTGACCCCAAGGGCCAGGGCGGTAACAGCCTGAGGGCTTGAGGTCCACGGGGCTGGTGTTCTGAGGGGACCCAGGGCAGCAGGCAGCGGCAGGCGGAGGCTTGGGGTCCAAAAGGAGAGCTTTGCAGCCAGGGCATTTCCCGCGGGGCTCCGGGTCCCAGCAGAGTGCCGGGGGCTCAGTGCCGTCCTGCAGTGGTCGCCATGATCGTGACACCCAGATCCCCGCCACCCAGGAGCCGCGCTTGTGGGGATGCCGGGTGGGGGTGCTCAGGGCCCTCTCTGGCACCTGCCGTTTCCTGGAAATCTGCAGCCTCCCCAGTAAAATTGGTGTCAGAGGGGCCGGGAACATAGCTCAGTGGTACCGCGCCTACCTGGCAAGTGAAAGGTCCTGAGTTCGATTCCTGGTACCCCCCCAACAAAACGGTGTCAGAATGTGTCAAGGTCAGGGACTGACGGGGCAGAGCTGGGGCTGCCCCTCCGTGGACGTCCCCGCCGTGGGTGCAGGCTGCGCACTGCCTTCCCCTCTGCCTGGGCCTGGGTGTCGTGGGCACAGCGGTCCTCTCCAGGCCCCCGTCTGCCCCCTGCTTGCCCCTGCAGATGGGGAGGAGGAGCTCTGCATCAGCCCTGAGCCCCTGCAGCCTCCAGGAGGGTCGGCCCAGCCCCAGCACCACTTCCCAAGGGGCTGTCACCTGCTGTGTCACCTCGCCCTGGAGGGCGAGGACAGCAGTGCTGCACACTTCCCATCCGTCTGTCCTCCCGTCCATGCGTCTGTCCACCCGGCTTCCCCTCCTTCCGCTCCTGTGCCCGCATTCCCTCCCCGAGCGCGTGCTGCTGGGAGTGGGGCCTGGCTTGGTGCGGGTTGCGGCGTCTGTCTGTCTGTCCACAAGGCCCGTGTAGGCACAGGTGATGACGTGGGTGGAAGCCACGGTGCTGTGGAGGGGGGAAGGGGCTCATACTCGCTCTGCCTCAGCGTGGTCCAGCCGCTTCTGTGGCCAGGGCGAGGGTCACCAGTCTCACCCCTGGGCTCGGGAAAGGAGGACCCAGACTACCTCAGGTGTGGCAGCTCACAGCGGAGACTCAGCTCCCGGGCAGGGCACGGGAGAGCCCAGGCGGGACGCCCCAGGTGTGACAACACGCCCTGGGTTGGCCTCCGCCGGCCTGAGCAGCACGACCGTGCCTCCCCTAAGTCACAGCAAACGGGCCATTCAGAGCGGCTGGAGGATCAGAGACACGGTGATGCCTTTTTTCTCTATTTGTGGGGCCGAGGATTGAACCCCTGGAGTAGAGAGCTATGTCCCCAGCTCTCTATTTTTCATGTTGAGCAGGGGCCTTACCAGCTTGTCCAGGCTGGGCTCAGACTTGTAACCCTGCCGCCTCAGCCTCCCTCTCAAACACCTGGGACCCTAAGTGTGCCTGGCTCACAGCAACACGGGATTCAAGGCCACCGCCAGGGAGGCGACAGGACACCGGCCTGATGGCCCTGTGGACCAGGCAGCCCTGTTGTGCAGTCACACATGCGAGGACAAGCACAGTGTCTCCCAGAGGGGCAGCAGCGAGCCCTCAGGCCGTCCGGGTGCTGCAGAGCAGAGCCAGTGGCACCGGGCATTTTGTGACCAACAGGCTGGCGGGGCGGGGCGGGGCTGGGCCTGGGCATCCTGTCCTGGTCCTCGGTGGTCCCTACACACCAGGCGCCCTCTGGCCCGGAGACTGGTGACGTGGGCATCATCGGCCACTTGCACTCGGGCCTGGTCTCCTGGATGAAAACTGGCACTTGTGCTGTGCAGGAGCGTGTGCAGTCTTCACCGCCTGTCATCCCAGCTTCCGGAGTCCGCAGCCCTGGGGTGCATAGGAGACCCTGTCTGAAAAACAGAACAGAGGGCCAGGGATGTAGCTCAGTGGTGCCGCCGCCTGCCTTGCAAGCGCAAGGTCCTGAGTTCGATCCCCTGTACCAAAAAAAAAAAACCCAGAACAAAAGCGTGCGCAGCACGAGCACTTCCTCTGTCCCTCGCCTGGCCTTTGCCGGGGGATTCGCCTGTGCCCCTCACTGTAGGGAGGGGGAAACAGACATGAAGGACTCAGGGCCACGTGGTCCGTAAGAGGTGGCTGCAGTACAGGCCCGGGCACGAAGCTGGTCCTGAGGAGGGTGTAGACACCAGGGACCGATGCCCGCGAGGGCGGGGCGGGAGCCGGGTCCAGAGCCAAGCACTCTGTGGCCCCTGACTGCAGACTACTGGGAGGGAGGAGTGTTCTCTTCACCCCAGCCACCCATGGGGCAGCCTCATCTGCAGGAAACAGCCGTCTGCCCGGGCTGCCAAGGTGCTGCGTCTCCCACCCCACAGCCAGGGCCCCTGGGAAGCCGGGTAGGTGTGAGGAAGCTGCGTGTAGGGGCCACAGCGCGGGGCCCTGCTGTGTACACTGCGGACCCACACGGCCTCTCAGGAATCCTACAGGTCTTCAGGGGCCACTCTGGGGAGCTGCGGGCCCCAGCCCAAGTGGCATCAGAGCCCACCCAGAACGTCATGGGCCAGCGAGGTCCCAGGAAGGGGACCTGGGGCTTGGGGAGGACCCCTAGAGTTCAGGCTGGCTCTGAGGACCCCACTCAGCCTCCTGGCCCTGTGTGGGCTGCCACAGGCATCCTGGGTGCCACGCTCGGAGCCAGCACTGTGCTGGGGTCACTGCCTCTGGCTGAGAGCTGGCCCCGGGACCCCACAGCCTCCTCTGCGGACTCTGGGCCTGGTGTCCTCTTGCTCAGTCCCCAGCCAGCCGCGTTGGGGCCACGCACCTCCGCGGGGTGTCTGGTGCACCCCACAGGGCTGTGCCCCCACTGAGCGGCTGGTTCTCTTTTGCAGCTTCAGCTTCAGAAGCCCCAGTACCTGCAGCTGGGCCCGAGTCGTGGCCAGTACTACGGTGGGTCCCTGCCCAATGTGAACCAGATTGGGAGCAGCGCCGTGGACCTGCCCTTCCAGGTGAGCCTGGCCCCACCCAGCTCCCCACCAGACCCTAGAAAGCGGCAGCCTAGGCTGTGTCCGCCCTCCAAACCCGCAAGCCCCGTCCTGCTCAGGGGCAGGCCTGGCTGCCGGGCCTGAGTCACCAGAGGCAGGGCGCGGCTCCCCTCGCCTTGGCCCTTAACGGGACTCAGCCTGGAGAGCTGGGCCTCTCCCCGCCCTGGTCCGCGGGGCCCTGTGTGGACAGGTTCCAGGGCTACTGGGCCACACGGCTGCCCCCCGCCCCCACAGGCGGGAATCAGCCTGGAAATAACCAGCTCCATGAGGCTCAAACAGGCTGGGCCACCACTGGAGAGCTCCGTGTCCCTCCTGTCCACTGCCTCTGAGAGGGGCAACGCACCCCAGGCCCACGGACACAGAGGCTCTGTCACCCAACTCCGAGAGCTCTCTGTCTCCCTCCGAGGGTCTGTCCCCTCAGGAAGAGCCCATCCGGGCACCTCTCCTCTTGGTGTGGGGCCATAGGAGCCCTCCCGGGCCAGGGGACACAGGCCCTCCTGGCTGTCCCTGCCCGCAGCCCGCCGCCCGGGGTCCCATGCACTCTGCCCACCAGGCGTCTCAAAGTCTCGGTTCTTGCATTTTCAGCCCAGCGGATTTCTGGGGGAGGCCCTGGCAGCGGCTCCTGTCTCTCTGGTAATTGAGCCCCCAGGCTGAGGCCGTGCCATCCCCAGCGCCAGCCTGTGAGACCCCAGCACACGTGTGGGCACTGGGTGTCCCCAAGTTCCCCTCTTGGCTGCCCCTGTGGCTCCCAGGGCGGAGGCCTGTCCACCACAGCCCACCTTGGGAAGTGCGCTGGTCGATCGGCCCCGGGGCCCCTGGGTCTGGCTGAGCGATGCTGCATCTACACCCTCAGACCAGGGAGCCCCTGCGGAATCCAAGCATGTGCCCCGTGCTGCATGCTCCCCTCTGGACGTAGCGGTGCACACGCCGAGCACAGACCAAAGAGCAGGTCGCAGGTGGGGCCTGGAGCCGGGCAGGGCTGGGGTGCCCTCCTTCCTCTGCTCTGGCCTCAGCCCTGTGGTTCTCCCCATGGGCCTCGGCGCTTCTCAGAGAAATGTGGGGTCCGTACCCTCGCTCAGTCACGACCTTCTCCTGGGCTCACACCCTGGGGGAGCGTGCCGGGAGCACAGAAGGCCCAAGGCACTGGTCCTTCCCCGGGTCAAAACAGACCCTGGGGTGAGTGGGCCGCCCGGGATCCCAGCTGCGGACACCTCCACGAGGGAGGCTCCTCCTCACGCCAGCCTCGCCCTCGGCCTGGCTGTCCGAAGAAGGCAGGGTGCAGGGGCAGATGGCCGGGCAGGCGCCCTGTTGAGTCCAGAGCTGGCGAAGGCAGCCACTCTCGCCTGGTCAGATGGCAGGAGGGCAGGCAGCGCAGGCTCTGGGCAGGAGCCTCAGGTGCCGGAAGGAAGCCCTGTCCAGCCAGCGCTGGGGAGGGCAGCCCAGGACAGTGCCAGAGCCTGGAGTGCACACCTGGCCGGGCAGGCCCCAAAGGCAGCCAGCTGTGCTGAAACCCAGCCCTACCTTGGCAGCCCTCGGGGTGACGGGGCGGGGGAGCCTTGTGCACCTGGCCATGGGCTGCTCAGCCACTGCACCCTGGTACCTGGCCGGCGCTGGGCCCCGAGCTTGTGCCACTCTGCCTGGCTGTGCATGCCAGCTGCACTGCTCGCCTGCTGCCCCCAGCCTGGGACACCCCGCTAGCTCACGCGCCCCACCAGTGCTCAGGGATGGGGGCCGGGTTACAGGAGGAGGCCGTCCTGCCCACAGCGTGGCATCCAGGGTGTTGGAGCGGGGTCCCCGAGACCTACCCGGGGCCTGGGGCAGCCCTGGGCCGGCGGGTAACCACTGCCTCCATCTTTCTCTTCCTGTGTTTCCGCCCCCTCCTCGTGCTCAGACCCCCTTCCAGTCCTCGGGCCTGGACACCAGCCGGACCACCCGACACCACGGGCTGGTGGACAGAGTGTACCGTGAGCGTGGCCGCCTCGGGTCCCCGCACCGCCGGCCCCTGTCGGTGGACAAGCACGGACGGCAGATATCCTTTCCCACACCGTCACCTTGGGGAGAGCCCACCGTGCTGGCCGCTGCGCCCAACGTTGGCCTAGCAGGCTCTTGGAGAGCTGCCCCTGGGATAGAGTTGGGCCGACCCGGGGGACTTCCTGAGGAGGGGTGCCCTCTGCCAGCCCAGGACCGGGGGGCAAGACTGGGCGCAGGGCACCCTGGGCTGGCAGGAAGGCAGGCAGGAAGCCCCACCAGCCCACCGGCCCGGCTGTTTGCAGCTGGGACACTGGGGCCGGGGCCACTCGGGCAGCTCCCAGCAGCGCAGCCAGGGCCTGTGGGCTTCAGGGTCTGAGGCGGCAGCTGCGTCCCCTTAACTCCTCATACGCCGACAGCTGCCCGTATGGCACCGTGTACCTCTCACCGCCCGCAGACAGCAGCTGGAGGAGGTCAGTGTCAGGGCCGCCCGCCCCGGCCTCACCCAGGGTGCGCGTGGAGAGCCGAGGTGCTGTCACTTCAAAGCGACACTCAGCGCAGCCCGGAGCTGCTGGAAGTGGGCTCTCCCAGCTGCACTGAGGTCGCAGCTCGGGAGCCTTCAAAGCCTCCACCATTTACGACTGATTTTTTTCTGCTTCTTTTACTTAACCAAAATTGCATATTCCGTGTTGTCATCTTTGCTTATTGTATTCTTCTATTTGCTTTTTTGTGAGATGGGGTCTTGAAGTCTTGGATCTGAGTGATTCCCCGGCCTCAGTCTCCTGTGGAACTGGGACCACAGGCACGCGTCACTGTGCCCAGCTGCTTTTCTTTCCCTTAACCAATGCTGTGTTGTGTTTTCCGTGTTGCTGAGCAGTCACTGAGAATTTGTGCAAGTATTCTGTATTCATGATAGAGAATCAGGGAAGCACATGAGTATCCCTACAAGAGGAAAAAGCACCACTCATCACTGCTCTCAAGAGAGATGGCAAAGGTTGAGCGTGGCAGCACACACCTGTGGTCCCAGTACTCTGGCGGCCGAGGCAGGAGGATCTCAGGTTCCAGCCCAGCCTGGGCAACTTACTGACTCATGGAGACCCTGTCTCAAAAATACCAAAGGGCTGGGGTGCAGCTCAGTGTGACGGAAACAGGGGAGGAGGGAGGAGGAGGAGGAGGAGGAGGAGGAAGGGAAGGGAAGGGACTGAGCGTGGAGAGCTCAGGCTCCGGCTTGGGGACACTGCCGGGTTGCAGAGCCATGGAGCCCTTTTGTCCTTGCCCTGGGGTCCTCTGGTCACACTGGGCCCCGTCAGGTCCCCACAGCCCTGTTTCCTCTGGAACTGCTGCCCAAGCGCCTGACACACGTTCTCCTGGCCAGAAGCCATGCTGGGGCCAGGCCGGGTCACCTGTCCTCTGCAGTCGGTGCCATCAGCAGGCCCAGGCCCAGGCTCTCTGCCCCTCCCAGTCATCCTCGGGCCTCCCAGGGTTTCAGTGCAGGGCCCGCCTCCCCCCTAAATCAGCACCATGGAGGGCAGGCGGGAGCTCCGGCCTGCTCACAGGTGACAGCCACAGCGCCACGGTGTCCTCTGGGACTGGCCCTGAGCGGGGTCCCCAGCTGGCTGCCCTGTCCCGTCCTGTGGGAGCCCCTGGCCCCGCCTCCTGGGGCTCACTCTCTCTCCCTCTCCGCCAGGACCAACTCTGACTCTGCCCTTCACCAGAGCACAATGACGCCTGCCCAGTCGGACTCCTTCACGGGGGGGTCCCAGGACGCACACCAGAAAAGAGGTATGGGCGGGGCACTGAGGTCTCAGCCGGGGTCAGCCAGGTCCAGCAGGTGGCCCTTGTGCCTCAGGAGGCCACCAGCCATGGGCTGACAGACCTTCAAAGGGTCAGCCTGTGACTCGGGACAAAGGGAGGGCTCAGGGACACTGTCAGAGGTGTGGCTACATGAGTTGGGTTTTGAAGAGTACATAGGAGTTTTCTGGGCAGAGAAAATGCTCCTGTGAATGGACACTGTCTCCCAGAATTCATGGGTTCAGGCCGTGGTTGTGACAGCTGGGGTCTCTGCAGATGGCACTTCCAAATGTAGGGGTAGCAAGCCCATACCAACCTTGTGAGCCCAGGGTTGAGCCTTCAGCTGCAGGCACAGCTTGATCCAGGAGCTGACACGAGAACCCCCTGCCCGCAGCTACTGGGTCTGCCTGGCTCCGTGAGGAGCAGGAGGAGCTTCCCCCACCATGACCGTGCCAACCCTGTGCCAGCTGCACCTCAGCCTCTGAGGGGTGCATGCTAATGGTCTGAGAAATGGGGTCCATGGGCCTGCCTGGCACGCAGGAGGGCGCCTCCACCCCTGAACTGCCAACAGGGTCCTGAGTGGTGGGGTCCTGACGGGAGGACGGTCACAGGCCAGGTCCCCAGGGCCAGCCCCTCCCCAGGGCATGGAGTGAAGGAGCAGGGGCGGAGCCAGAGCGCCAGGCAGGTGTGATGGGCCACACAGGCCACCCGGACTGTCCCTCCTGTTTCCAGGGTCTCCCCTGCCTGGTCCGCTCCACAAGGATGTCGGGGTCCCCAGGACATCCTGAGACCAGAAGGAAGCCAGGCCCTTGGCGGCTCAGAGTCCCGAAGGGCACAGGGACCCGGGCAGTGACAGGGTGGGAGGTTGCCTGGCTTCCCTCTGACACACCCCAGAAGAAGGAGTGGTGAGCCAGGCACAGTGTCACACGCCTGTCATCACAGCACTTTGGGAGGCTGAGGCAGGAGGATCGCAAGTTTGAGCTCAGCCTGGACAACTTAGACCCTGTGTTAAAATTTTATGAAAGTGGAAAAAAAAGGGAATAAAAAAAGAGTAAAACAGTGGGGGGGGTGCTGAAAATGTAGCTCAGTCAGTGGAGAGGCCCTGGGTTCAGTCCCCAGAACTCGGGGCGGCGGGGGGGGGGGACTAGGTGTGTCTGGGGCGTAGCTCAGTGGTAAGCACTGCCTAGCATGTTCAAGGCCCTGGGGGAAACACGTAGGCAGGAAATGTTTATTCTCACCGTGACTGAACGGCCCTAGGATGTCACCTTCAGGCCTGGCTCTTTCCAGGAGCTGGAGTGGTGTGCACCTGCCCAGTCCTCGGGTCTGAGGCAGGCATCTGTGCTGGCTCCTGTTGAGGCTCCTAGCCCACGTCAGCTTGCCCCGCACTAGGACCCTGGCAGCCTTGTTGCAGCCCTGGTGAGTCAGGGCCACGTCTTGTAGGCCATCCCGGCTGTGAGGCTTCGTTTTGACGGCCCTGTCCCTCCCCAGTCTTGCTGTTGACCGTCCCGGGGATGGATGAGGCCACATCGGAGGCAGACAAGGCCCTGTCCAAGCCGGCCTGGGACGCCAAGAAGGTAAGAGCCGCATGGTGCACACTCTTCCCAAGCCCAGCCTGGTCAGCTGCCTTGGCCACACTGTGGCGGCTCCTTGTCATGAGGAGTGACCCTCACTCAGATTCGCGCGTGCCCAGCTCACGGGTGTGCTGGGCCTGCTGCACCGGCAAGAGGCACGCCAAGCGCCGAGCCCCTGCCAGTCAGTCGCAGTGACAAGGACAGCGCACAGGTCTTTATCCCCGCTGTGCGCGGTGGCACACGCCTGTAGTTCCAGCTGCTCAGGAGGCTGAACCTGGAGGATCCTGAGTTCAAGCCCAGCCTGGGCAGCTTGACAAGACCTTCTCTCAAAATGAAAAATCAAAAAGGGATGGGGAGGGGCGGGGATGTAGCTCAGCGGCACTACGCCTGCCTGGCAAGCGCGAGGTCCTGAATTCGATTTCCGGTACCAAAAAAAAATGACAGAAAAAGGGCTGGGGATGTAGCTCATGTAAAGGCCCTGGGTTCCATCCCCAGTACTGCAGAATAAGTATAGAAATAAAGGAACCCTAAAGAAATGAAGATACGAAGGTATGTGTGGTACCTCTGTTACCCGGAGAGAGCCGGATAAAGACATCTGGAAAGGGGCCGGGGGTGCTGCGCGGTGGAGCCCTCGCCTAGCACACCGCGGGCTCAGCTTCCACCCCCAGCACACCAGTGACCCCCCACACAAGGCCAGAAGCCAGTTGAGACTTCATGGCAGGAAGGTGGGTCCATGCGCATTACTGCTTTGCGCTAATGCTGCCTCGCTTCTCCCCGGGCGGGAGCCAGCCCCAAGACGCCGCCGAAAGCCCGCCTGTTTTCTCATTCTGTCCCCAAAGCCCTTGTCTCCCCGATGGCTGGCGAAGTGCTCTTCAGTCTTCTCCCGGAAGTCAGCGGGAAAGTCAGCCTTAGTAGAAATCCGCAGTGAGGCCGGTGTTTGCTTAGGGATTAGGAACATTCCCCTCGCTCCAGGCTCAGGGTCCCCTCTGCTCTCCTGATTCTTGCAGAGCCCAGGTGGCCCTGTTCGGGTATCTATCCCCACCTGCCCCGCCTGGGGCTCTGCCCGGCCATGCCTCCAAAACCAGGTGCTGGGGGCGTGGGGGCGCGGCCTGCAGCCCCAGCCCCCTGGAGCTTGGGGGCCCTCCCAAGCCACCTCCCTGGTAACAGCCCCCGGTAGGGGCCCTCAGTACTGCGCTGGAAGTGTGTCTTGGCCTCACTGCAATGCTGATTTACTTTCCACTTCGGGAAGTCCAAAGCCCTTGGACAAGGAGGGGCCTCTGGACCGCCACCAGTGGTGGGCACAGCAGAGGGTGTCCTGGGACCAGGGGGCATGCAGGGCCCACTTGGGAGTCACGCATCTGTCCTCCAGGCCGCCTGCATCCCACCTCTGTGCCCTTCCCCTCCCCGGGACTGGTGGCTGCTCACTGACTCCCCCAGGCCGGGACCAGATGCAGCCTGCAGACTTAGAATGGGGGGGTGGGGGGGTGGGCCCAGCTCCCCAGGGACTGCGTGTCCCCACCCCTGCCCTGATGGTGCCATGGCTCCACCCAGAGCCACCATGGGCAGAATGGCCCTGGACACCGCTGTTGCCTTTGTCCTTGGGCGCCCAGGGTGGCCCCTACACACCCTGGTGTCACTGCTGTCCATCGGAGAGACTCTTGGGTCCCCAACAAGCTGGGTTCTGTCAGGAAAGGTAGGTCAGGGCAGCTGTGCCGGGCACCTGCTCAGCCTGTGCTGTCTTTTCTTTTTTTTTTTTTTGGTACCAGGGATCAAACTCAGGTCCTTGCGCTTGCGCAGCAGGCGACGAAACCACTGAGCTAAATCCCCGGCCCTGCTGTCTTTTCTTTCAGACGGGGTCCAGGCCTAAGTCCTGTGAGGTCCCTGGCATCAAGTAAGTCCCTGCAGGACCCCTGCCCCAGGCCAGCTCGAGGGCCGTGTCCCTGCCTCTCTGGCACAGCCTGGCATCCTGGCCTTGTCCCACCCAGGCTGCTGGTGCTCTGATGTCCCTTCCTGGTGCAGAAGCACCTGCTCATCCTCCCACCTCAGTTTCCGGGAGCTCCGCATCCCTAAAGCTCACTCTGCCCTCTGTCTGGCCTCTCCCCAGCATCTTCCCATCCACCGAGCAAGAGAGCACGACGGCCCTGATCCCAGCCACCCACAACACGGGGGGCTCCCTGCCCGACCTGACTAACATCCACTTCCCGTCCCCACTGCCAACGCCACTGGACCCCGAGGAGCCCCCATTCCCTGCTCTCAGTGGCTCCAGCAGCACCGGCAACCTCTCGGGCAACCTGACCCACCTGGGCCTCGGCGGCACCGGCCAGGGTAAGGCCGCTGGGCCCGGCCTCCTCCCGGGGTGGGCCAGGTGGGTGGAGGTACACCCAGGGCACACAGGACTCCAGGGGAGCCGGGCGGCCTGTCCCTCGCCCAGCCCTCTTGCTGTGCCCGAGTGTGCACTGTGGCCGGCCTGTGACACGACTCTGGCATCTCCTGAGCATCATACTCATCTCCCTTGGCCTGGTCTGTGGGGTTGGCCCTGGGCCCTGGTCCATCCTCCTGGGGACACAGGATGGTGGGGGTCCCCCATAACTCCTCCATCTTCCCCCGTGTGTCACGGGCTGACCTATCAGCCCCACGGGCAGGTCCCGGCATAGCCCAGCTCACTGTCCTTGCCGGTGCCTGTGCCTTGCGGGGTACCCTCCCTGTGAACGCCCAAGACGACCAGGGCCTGGGCTGCTCTCTGACCCTGTCTCCCAGCCTTAACCTCCACACCTGGACCTCAGGGCCTTTGCATGTGCCGCCCTATCCCACAGTTCTGCTACCACTCAGCTGCCCCCCACCTCACATACTGCCACTTCTCGGTACTCACCCACGGCCACCACTGCACCTCTGCTCTTTATCTGTCCCCTGGGCTGGGTCAGTTTCCCCAGTCCTTACTGTATACCTGAATCCCAGTAAGCTCCTTTGTGGGGTGTAGAGGCAGGAGAGGCAGGCAGCTGGCTTCCAGAGAGGACAGCAGTGGCCCAGCCGGCCCCAGGGGACAAGGCAGGCAAGGGCTGGGGTAACACAGGCTCCTCCCTGTGTGCTCCTCCGGACTGAAGGGGCCGGGCTACCTGCTGCCTTCATACCCTGCCTGTGTGCAGCAGACGAGGGGCGGGGCTTTGGGGAGGGTCCCTTGCCCAGGTTCCTCCGAGGGGGTCGCTCTACCACCTGGGGGAGGGGCCAGGAGCGGCTGTGGGTGCTCTGCAGACATCAGGGTGGCTTAGTGCCTGGAGTCGAGGCAGAGGTGCTGGTGTTCTGTGCCAGAGGTGGAGCCCAGGGCCTCCTGCATGCCAGTGAGCACTCACCACAGAGCCGCTCGGGACCCGAGGGGTGAGGCTGGAGCCGGGAAGGGGAGCGGGCCCCAGCCCCAGGCCACCAGGCCTGTTCTTTCATACCCTGGCCCCGTGCCTGCCAGGGCTCTGCTGCCAGGCAGAGGGCAAGGAGGAGGCCCGAGAGTGGAAGTGCAGGCTCAGGCAGCCCGAGACACACCCCCAGCCCAGACCTGGCAGGCAGACGCCCCAGTCTGCACGGGGTGGGCAGCCCTGGGCCGCAGCTGTCCCTGCCCAGCTGAGCAGAGGTGCATCGTCCAGCCCTCTGTGAGCGTCTCTGGGGTCCCCTCCAAAAACACAAGGGTCCTTGGCAGCCCCTGAACCCTGGCTGGAGCTGTGCATCTCCAGCCCTCGTAGTCTAAACAAGATCTGGGAAACGTACACCACATGTGGGGATGCAGCGGCGCGGCGTGGGGCCCACCAGCCCGCCTGGCTCACAGCGGCGGCCGCTAATGCCTGACATGTGTGCAGCCCTGTGAGCCTGGCGCTGCTTTCTGGGCGCCTTTTCAGTCAGGCCGAGCCGTGGGGCCCTGGCCACCTAGGGCTCCTGCCCCTCTCACCGCCCCCTGCCACCCCAGGAGGAGGAGGGGGCCTGGAGAGTGTCACCTGGCCATGTCCCTGGCTGCTCGCCAGTGCGGGGAGCAGGGCAGGCCCCGGTGTCCTGCCTGGCACGCGTCTGAGGCCGGCCGGCCCTACCGGCAGGGCTTGCGTGTCCTGGGGCGGCCCTGCCACCTGGCCCACCCGCCCCAGATTTCCCTGCCAGCTGGCTGCGCTCCTGCTCGGAAGGTGATCCAGGGCTCAGCAGTAAGGTGCCCCCATCTGCCCTGCTGGCCCAACTGGCCTCTCCCAGGGTGGCGATTGGGAGCTTGCCCCAGCCCGGCATCCTTCTATCCAGGAGGATGCTGCAGACTGGCAGGCCAAGGACCAGGCCAGCTGCTGGGGTTTCGTGTGGCCGCTGAATGTTTGTGTATATGCATGAGCCTGTGTGTGATACTTCAAGTTGACATTTAAGAGGGCCAGGAATTTAGCTCAGTGGTTCTGCCACCTGCCTTGCAAGCACAAGGTCCCGAGTTCAATCCCCGGTACCAAAAACAAACAAACAAAAAGACATTTAAGACAGTGCCTACCTGGAAAGCTCAAGGACCCGAGTTCTATCTCCGGTACCAAAAAAAAAGTGCAAAGAAGACATTTAAGAACCAGGAAAGTGTGTGTAGAATCCTGAAGAATCAGAAGGGAGCCAGGCATCAGGGTGCACACCTGTAATCCCAGCTACTGGGAAGGCTGAGGCAGGAAGGTCCCAAGTTTAAAGCCAGGCTGTCTCAAAAATAGAGAACTTTTGCTGGGCGTGGTGGCACACGCCTCTGATCCCAGCACTCCGGAGGCTGAGGCAAGAGGACTGCCACAAGTTTGAGGCCAGCCTGGACTATGTAGACCCTGTCTCAAAAAAACCAAAAAGAAAAAAAGAGAGAAGGGGGACTTTTTTAAAGGGCTGGGGGTGCAGCTCAGTGTAGAGCACTGACCTAGCGTGTGTGAGGCCCTGGGTTCCATCCCCCGAACCTGGGGGAAGACGGTAGAGTGAGGCCCAGCAGCCTCAGGGCAGTGCCCAGACCTCAGGATGGGCCACCCTCGAGTTGGCCACAGCCCCACCTACCCCTGTCCCCCACAAGCTCGCAGCTTTTGCTTCTGACCTGCCACCAGGCACCCTTTGGCCCCGCGGGACACACACGATGCCTGTCGCCTAGAACAGCACAGCCCAGGGCCCTGACCCCGAGTGCACGCTGAGCGGGGCCTCTTGCTGCCCCTTGACTCGGATTCTGACGCCCACGGCCCACAGACTCCAGCCCTTGGGCTCTGCTTCAGGAACACTTGTTGGCTGGGGTCCCTCACACAGCAGCCCTGCCCCTGGCCACCAGGCGGCATCGAAGGGGAAGCGCAGGCCTGATGGGGCTGGCCCTACCAGGCAGCTGCCCTGGGCATGGGCGGCTGCCCGCACGCTCCCCTTGGTGCACGCTGGGTGTGTTCCTGCAGGCTCCTAACCCTGCCGTGCCATCTGCCGGAACAAGGTTGGTCCGGTGCCCACGGCAGGATGGGCCCGGATCTCCCGGGTGAGTCAGGAGGCTGCACCCAGCCTTGACTGTGGGCCAAGCGCTCTTCAGAGGCTGCTTTGTGACCTCACCGGCCTCCCAGTGAACCCCACAGGGTGGTGCTCTCATTGCCGTCACTGATGAAGCGGAGGCTCAGGGTCGGGTGGGGGGCACGCCGGGCCCCCAGGGCTCCCCCTGTCATCAAGAGGGCCTGCTGCCTGGCTGGCATGGTGCCCCAGGTCCCCCAGCAGGCCCCAACTGCGGCCCTGTGCCTGATCTTACCAGCCTCCCTCACCACCCCATGTCCAGGGAGCAGATTGCTCAGGGTGAAGGAAGGGGCAGCACAGGGCCTGGGCAGGAGCCAGTGGGTGGCAGGGAGAGAAGAATGAAGAAGGCACAGGAGGGGCCCCTGGATATGGGGTATCGGGGTGCTGAGAGGAGCAAGGAGGGACCAGAGTTCATCAGAAGAGGATCAGGGTGGCCCTGAGGCTGCTGGAATCCCGTCTTCGCAGGATGGACTCTCCTGACACTAAGGGAGACACGAGCCCACTTAAGCAACAAAGGGGATTTGTACCTTCCCGAAGCCAGAAGTGCCTGTGTGACTGGATGGGGGCTCAGGTGCTGCCTTTCCCCCACAGCTCTCTGTCCTACTCCTGGCTTCCTTTGGGGTGTCCCACACTCTGCAGTCAGCCCTTCCCGGAGTTCTGGCCAAAGTCCCGAGGCAGGCTCTCATTGGCCCAGCCTGGTCACATGCCAGTTGTATGTCCAGAAATGAGAAGTGCTCATTGGCTGGACCAGTGGGCACGCCCCTCTTGGAGGATCCTGGGGTCAGTGGGGGAGGAACAGAATGAACCAGGAGCCAGAGTTGTCTCATGGGGGGCATTGGAGGGCCAACTGCCCCGCTGTGGGGAAGGCTGTCTCCGCAGCGGTGCCACTCATGTGACGGTGGCCTTTCCTCAGCCCCCTCTGCCTCCCTTCTTCCTTTCTAGGGATGAGCACACCAGGCTCCTCTCCGCAGCACCGGCCGGCCGGCGTCAGCCCCTTGTCCCTGGGCACAGAGGTGAGGCAGCAGCAGGCCCAGCAGGTGTCTCCCTCATTGTCCCCACTGTCACCCATCACACAGGTGCGAGGGTGTGGGCAGCGGGAAGGTGGCAGCTCTGCCTATGGGAGGCCTGCGCCTGCCAGGTCTCGGAGTTCTGAGAACATCCCTGACGTGTCTACTTTTCGTCATCAAACTTCCAAAACATAGAAGGTGCAGGACTGGATGGCATCCCTGGCAGGCCCACAAAGGCGCGGTTCAGCCGAGTGTTTTTCATTAAGTTACTTCTGCTTTTGATGTGGTAGTTGAAATTTCCCAAGATAAAATGTTTAGAGAGGTTTTTTAAAAAAATTTATATTTATTTGTTTGTTTTTTGAGAAGAGCTTGCTATGTAGTTCAGGCTGGCTTCAAACTCATGGCACTCTTCCTGCCTCAGCCTCCCAAGTGCTGGGATTTATGGCGTGTGCGTGTGTGAGTGTGTGTGTGTATGTATGTACGTATGTATGTATGTGTATATCCCCCCCCCCCCCCCCTGTACCAGGAATCAAACTCCGGACCTTGAGCTTGCCAGGCAGGCATGGTGCCACTGAGTTAAATCCCCACCCCGGTTTTTATATTTTTTCCTTTTTTTTTTGGATCGTGTATGTGCATTTGCCCCATTGATCTTGCCTTCCAGTGAAGTTGGTAGCAAAGTTCCCACCTTCATTTCTGATGATAGCAGTTTGAGTCCCCTCATTAGGACCAGGTCACCTACCTCACACAATGAGTTAGGAATTGGTATCTTTCCTGGTGCTTGGAAAAGTGTGAGCAGCATTTCAGTTTCTCTTTGAAACCTTGGGTAAAATTTACCAGTGAAATCAAATAGTCTTTGTGGGGAGGTTTTTAATGACCAATTCAGGCTCCTTACTTTCAAGGTTATTGCTGTTTTCTAACCCTTCTTGAGTTTTGGGAGTTTGGACGTTGTGAGCAATTTCTCGCGTCCTCCCTCCATCCCTCCCTCCTTCCTCTTCCTCTCTCTCTGTCTCCATCTCTCTTTCCCAGTGTCCAGGAGGGGACCCAGGCCCTCACACATGCTGGACAAGAGCTCTACCTCAGGGCAGCGCCACACCCCCTATCTGTCAAAATCCCTAAGGGAGAACTTGCGCTGTTTTATGTTTTAACCTAAACATGAGGCCAGGCGGGTCTGCCTACAACAACATCAACAGTAATTGCTCCATCCCGCCTGACCCTGGCCTGGTTCCCACTGCACCCTCACGCTGACATCTCTCTTGGCCTGGGAGGATCAGGAGCCACATATGGAAGGCGCCCACCTGGGGCTGTATCTGCCCATGCTTCCTGCCTCTTTCCTTTCTGGAAACTTCATTTTAAAAATTATTTATGGATTTATCAGAACCAAGAGCCTCCCCCATGCTAGACAGGCACTGTGCACCTGAGATGCATCCCAGCCCTTTTCATGTTTGAGACGGGGTCTCACTGTGTCACTCGGTGACCCAGGCTGGTTTTGAATATGTCATCCTCCTGCCTCAGCCTCCCGAGCGGCTGGGATGACAGCCGTGCACCCCCATTCCCGGCTGGAGACCCCTTTTGATTCACAACCGCCCTGTGCTACTTGGAGGCGCCCCACACAGCAGCCTCGCTCAGAGGGAGGGACCCTCCCTGCCCCACGACTGTCACCTCCGCACAGGGGCCCCAGCCCTGAGCTCCTGCACAGACTGGAACCCACTTCCCTCTGTTTCGCTCTCCCTGCCTGCCTCCAACAAGGTCCGAGCCCCACCCTGAGACCCTACCCATGTCTCGGTTCCCACCACACTCTTCAGGTGAGCCCTGGAGCACGGTCGTCCCCGTGCCTGACCAGGCCACCCTAGCTGCCAAATGTGCCAAGCACAGAGCACTGTGGGTGCCCTGTGGTCCTGTGCCTGTCCCCGCCCTGCCCACAGTCCACAGAGCAGCGTGTGCTACCTGGTGCCTTCTCCCTCCGCAGGCGGTGGCCATGGATGCCCTGTCGCTGGAGCAGCAGCTGCCCTACGCCTTCTTCACCCAGGCAGGCTCCCAGCAGCCGCCGCCACCGAAGCCCCAGCCCCCACCCCCGCCGCCACCTGCGTCCCAGCAGCAGCCGCCCCCGCAGGTGCCCGTCGGCCTCCCCCCTGGCGGCCCTCTGATGCCCAGTGCTAGCCTGACTCGGGGGCCACAGCTGCCCCCACTTTCGGTCACGGTACCGTCCTCTCTCCCCCAGTCTCCCCCAGAGAACTCAGGCCAGCCGTCGATGGGGATCGATATCGCCTCGGTGAGCCTGGGATGGGGTGGCAGGGCCTGGCTGGGGGGCTCCCTGAGGAGGAGCCTGAGGGCTGCAGGAGGAAGCTGGGCTCAGGGTGGACGCCAGTGCTGTTCCAGGCCTGCGCCAATCAGATTGTCATCCTGTGTGCAAAGGAGGAATCCAAGGCGTGGCAGAGGAGCTCGCCCAGAGCACCCCAAGTGGGTCCCTTTGTGCTTGGTGGGAAGAGAATTTTGGAAGGTGGGGGGCTGAGGGGAACAAGGAAGTGAAGAAGGGGGGAGGCCTGTGTGGCGTGGTGCTGGGCTCACAGATGGGACCCCTGCTCAGCACTGGGTTTGGGGCCACAGGAAGCCTCCCCTTAGCCTAGGGTACACGTCCCCATGGGCTCTGCAGAGAACAGACCCCGCCCTGGTCCTGCAGCAGGGACCACGTTCCCAAGCGATCTGGCCCACCCCAGGGTCCCCGGACCGGAGGACACAGCTGGTGCCCAGGGACAGACTGAAGGGGCCCTGGCCTGGAGGTGGGTGACACTGCAGACAGCGTGGCCCAGCCAGGGCTCCAGCACCAGCACCGCTCTCCAGGGAAAGTCAGATTCCGTGTCCTCCGAGACTGCAGCTTCCCAAGGATAGGCCCTGTGACCGCCTGTTTTCTGCTGGACCCCACCCCAGTGAGAATTCTGTGGCCAGGCCTGAGGAGACATGAGCCAGTCGTCCCCAGTGACCGTGCTGGCCCCTCTGTCACCCACACCCTGCCTGACCTCCCCGCCCTCGACTGCTCAGAAAGGGCCCTGAGGACAGGGAGATGGCTGTGGGCTGGCAGGGGGGGACTCAGCAGGGCCAGGCCAGGCTCGCTAAGGGCATGAGTTCAGGTCCTAGCCCAGCCCTGCTGCTCCTGGGGCTCCAGCCTTGGGTGCCCCTCAGATGTCTCAGCTGGGCCCGCAGTGCCGAGGGATGACTGTCCCTGGTGTCCACCCTGTGAGGAGGGCTGCAGTCCGCCAGGCACCGAGGGAGGGGATCGGGTGGAGGCTGCAGCTGCCCGTGTGGATGTGTGGGTGTGCATGCGTGCATTGCATGTCTGAGTGCACAAGGGGGTGTGTGAACCCATGGGAACTGCGAGTGCACCCAGCAGTGTAGGTGTGCGGATGTGTGTACATGTGGGTGTGTGGACATGCATGCATGGGTTCGTGGGTGTCTACATGTGTGTCTGGGTGACTGTCGCCAGTGGGTGTCCCCACTTCTGAGAGCTCTATGGAGCCCTCACAGCCCTTGTTTGCGGAAAGGACCCCAGCAAAGCTCAAGCTCACACAGCTCAAGGGTGCCCGGTTCTCTGGCCACCTATGGCCTGGCACTGGCATCCAGGCATTCTGGATAAGGGTGCCTTTGGGGGCCCATTGGGATCCAAGACACCCCAAGACCCCAGGAGGTGGGGGAGTAGCAGGGGCTGGCCCCCCGCTGACGCGTCTGTCTTCCCAGGCGCCGGGTCTGCAGCAGTACCGCACTGGTGCTGGCTCCCCCGCCACCCAGTCTCCCACCTCGCCGGTCTCCAATCAAGGCTTCTCTCCCGGGAGCTCCCCGCAAGTAAGGGCGCGCCCCAGCCTCCCTTCGGTTTCCTGCACCCTGCCCCTCCCACTCTCTGCCTCGCCCATTGTGCTCTGCCCATTCCCCCCCCCCTCAGGTGGAGGAGGGTTTATCTCAGACCCCTTCCTGGGGAGCTTCGCCTTCTAGCCTCCCCTTTGTGGTCTCTGTTTCCTTCCCTACCTTCCTGTTGTGCCTTTGTGATCTCTGCCAAGCGCTGCCAGCCGGGAGTGGCAGGGCTTCTCAGATCGGTGACAAGGCCAGTGGGTGTAGGTGACTCAGGGATGACCCATCTGCTCCCAAAGGAGAGTGGGCCCCCCTTGCTTTGGGTCACAGCTGAGGTGCCAGCCGAAGTGGCACGCTGGCCCTGGCCCCGCCTTCCCCAGGAGGTGTGTCCCTCAGCCCAGGCCATCTGCCCAGGAAGCTCATCTGAGCAGCTCTGTGGTGACGGGGGCAGCAAAACCAGGGGCCTCACGGGCTCTGTCTCCAGCTCTCAGGGGTCCCTGGGACCCCACACCACCTGGAGCCCAGAGTGGGCAGGGCAGCCAGGGTCCCTGGGGTCTGCACACCCAGGCCTACCCAGTGCTGAGAGTGACGCATCCAGCCTCTGTGTGTGGTGCCATGGGGCCGGATTGGCGCCAGCTGGGACGTGGGCAGCCCTCGCCTGGGTGAGCACAGTCCCTCCTGCATGGCAGGCAGGACAGGACATGACGGGACAGGGCAGGGCAGGGCCATGGGCACCTCTGCGGCGGGAGCGATCCATTGCGGCTGGTTAGCTGCCCGGTGGGCGGAGGGCGTCGCTGTCCGTCAAGCACCCGTCTGTGTCTGCTGTCCATCCTGTGGCTCAGGAAGCAGGCACTCAGGTGGGTGTGAGGGCAGGGTCAGCCGGAGACGGGGCATGGGGGCGGAGGCCAGACCGGGTTCCTGGCTGGCCTAAGGACTCCCAGGATGCACCCATTTGACCCTGGGCCCAGCCACCGCCTCCAGCCTCAGTTGGGAATCCTGTCCATCCCAGCCAGGCTGAGCCTTGGATGATGGGGTTCGGTCTCCTATGGGGCCACCCCTCCCTATGGACCTGGCACCCTGGCTCTGGTTGGGGGGCTGCTTGTTTTGATTTTGCGGTGCTGGGGTGGAACCGAGGACCTTGTGCATGTCAGGCAAGCACTCTGCCACAGAGCTGTACCCAGCCCTGGAGCAGCAGGATTTTAGGGAAATGACTTTTTGCCATTTTGCTTTTTCCTCCTTCAAGTCCCCTTTTTAACTTTTTCTTTTTTTTTGTACCGGGAATTGAACTCGGGACCTTGGGCTTGCGAGAATCCCCAGCCCTTTTAACTTTTTCTTGGTGTCTGAACAGATCGTCCACCATCCCACAGCCCTGCCAACCCAAGGGCAGTGGGTGGCTTTGCAGCCCACCTCTCTCTGGGACCAGGGCCTCAGCCTTCAAGCTCTGGGTGCCCTGGGCGCAGGGTATCTTTCTAGGACAAAGCTCAGGCCAGGTGCTCGAGTGTAGGAGGTCCTGGGCCTGCTGTCACCTGGAGCAGCTGGAGTGGCTGAGGTTTAGCACCCCCTATGGCCTCCCTGTCCCACCTGGCTGGGCTGTGTCTTGAGGCCCCACCAGGTACCACCCCCATGCAGCTAGGAGTCCCCATAGTCTGCCAGCTGGGCCTTCCCTGTCCCTGTCTTGTGCTCACCTGGCTTTGGCCAGCTCTGTGCCCATCCTGTCCTCACGTGTGTGGCCTGTGCCGTCTCCTCTCCCTGGGGGCCCATCTGGGGTCACCAGTGCAAACCCCATCCTGGATATCCCGTGGAGGTTTTTTGGGGGGGGTTTTGGTGCCGAGGATTGAACTGAGGTCCTTGGGCTTGTGCAGCAGGGGCCAGAACCACTGAGTTAAATCCCCAGACCCTGTGGAGGTTTTCTGTCTCAGTCACACCCCCAGTTCTTCCTGTGGGGCTGCCTGATACCTCGGGCCTGGGCCCGCCTTCCCTAGGGTAGAAGCAGAGTCCCCCACACTCGGGCTCAAGGGGCGGGGAAGGGGACAGTGCGTTAGGGAGTGACGGGGTGCAGAGGCTCCCAGGAGCAGCTGGTGGGAAGCAGGAGTCATCTAGGACTGGGGCGCACCCCAGGGCCCTGAGGTAGGTGTGGACATCATCCTGTGGTGTCCAGGCATCTTCCAGCAGGGTCCCTGCCCCGCCAGCCTTGGGCTGGGCCACAGCAGGCCTCTCTTCTGTTCACAGCACTCTTCCACCCTGGGCAGCGTGTTTGGGGATGCGTACTATGAGCAGCAGATGGCGGCCAGGCAGGCCAATGCTCTGTCCCACCAGGTGAGCGGGTGCCCGGGCTGCTGGCTGGTGCCCACAGCAGATGCTCGCCGGGCCCAGGCCTCCTGCACCCAAGGCACCCTGCTCGGCGCTCTGCTTGGCCCCGTGGTCCCTGTCCTGTCCTCGGGCTGCAGAGGACAAGGCCCTGGTGGCGGCTGGGCACGGCCCCCTTGGGGGGCCTGCGGCAGAACGGGGCCAGAGCGGGGAGCAGGGGCGGGTGTGGGTGCGAAGGGCAGGCAGTGGCTGTCGGGTCGGCGCATCGGCATGGCGTGCACGGGCCTGTGGGGCTGTGCTGGCTTTGTGTGGTGGCGGGGACCTGGCATCCAGGCGCGGGGCCTGCTTGCCCGTCATCCATCACCTAGGAGTCTCGAGAGGAAGGGGCGCCCAGCCGTGGGCAGGCAGGGTGGCAGCCCCCGGGGCCTGGTGCTCACTGCCTGGCCCCTGTCTGCAGCTGGAGCAGTTCAACATGGTGGAGAGCGCCATCAGCCCCAGCGGCCTGTACAGCCCGGGCTCCACGCTCACCTACTCACAGGCAGCCATGATGGGGCTGGCGGGCAGCCCCGGGAGCCTGCAGGACGCGCAGCAGCTGGGCTACGCCGGGCACAGTGCCATCCCCAACATCATCCTCACAGGTGAGGCACCTCGGCCCTGGGGCAGTGGCCAGCCTCGTCCTCGAGGGGAGGGGAGAAGTCCCTGCTCAGTCCCTGTCCAGCACAGCACCCATCTTCCCCTTACAAGCCAGGGCTGTTGGCGGGTTGAGGTCAATCCTCCCGGTGGTCCCCGAGGGTGTCTCCAGGGAAGAGGGGCCCTCAGAGACGTACAGCTCACCCTGCTGTGAGGGTGCAGGCGGCCAGAGACACCACAGGCTGGAAATGCCAGGCAAAGCTGAGAAAATCAGGGACTCTCGGACCCGTTCCCAGACCTAGAGACAGAGGCCCAACGGTACAGAAGGGGCCAGGCTAGAAGCAGGGCCTCAGTCGGGGAAGCTGCTTGCTGGGTCCTCTAGGGCACCCACACTCGGCCCCACCTGCTTTGCAGGAACCTGAGTCCCCACTAGCTGGCTCACACAGTATTCAGCCCCTCGGTGCTGCAGACACCCGGTGCGGCCACTGAGGTGTGAGCAGCATCCTTGGCCTCTGCCCCCCCAGTGATGACAGCAGGCTGTCCCCGGGCATGGCCACCCTCCTGAAGGAGAAGACCCCCTGGGTGAGCACACCTGAGCTGGGGCCGCCCAGGCTGAGTGCACTTTTGTGCCCCACCCAGTGACAGGAGAGTCGCCCCCGAGCCTCTCCAAAGAACTGACCAGCACCCTGGCTGGGGTCGGTGACGTCGGCTTCGACCCCGACAACCAGTTCCCCTTGGACGAACTCAAGATCGACCCCCTGACCCTCGATGGACTGCACATGCTCAACGACCCTGACATGGTCCTGGCTGACCCAGCCACCGAGGACACCTTCCGGATGGATCGGCTGTGAGTGGCCACGCCTGGCACCCTGCCATCACCACCACCGGCATCTCCCAGAGCTGGGGACGGCGCATCTGTCCCTCGCCAACGGCCGAGCTTGTGATTCTGAGCTTGCAATGCCGCCGAGCGCCCCCACCAGCCCCCGTTGTCCACCTCCTGCCGCTGCCCAGTGCCCGGGCCAGGCTGGGACAGCCCCTGTGCTCGACCCCTGGTGTCCCCTGTAAGATGCGGACCGTGTTGCTCCCAGCGTGGGGGCCGGGCAGGCTGGGGTGGGGGCGTCCGTGGGCCGGGCGGAGGTGCATTTTCCGACTGTTGTTCAGCTCTCACTGCCTTCCTTGGTCCCTGGTCCCCACACCCTCGCGCCGCCTGTCCCCAGCCTTGGCCAGGTACCTCTCAGGAGAGCATGGGGAGCAGGGGCGGGCGCGGAGTGAAATAAACACTATCGATGGCTGAGTCCTTCCGTGGCAGAGCGTGGAGTGTAGACGGTCGTGCCCTGCCCAGCGGTGCCCCCGCCCGCCCGTCTCCACCGCACCCCAGCCAGGTTTTCCGGGCCACTTTCCTCGGAGCAGCCTAGCTGGGCCCGCAGCACGCAGAGGCAGGGCTGGCTCCGCCCATGCCCAGGGGTGGGCGGGGTTTGGCGGGAATCTTCCCGGTAGGTTTTTGTTCTAAGGTCTGTATTTATGTTTTGGTTGTAGACAAGTAGCTGAACCCTTCCAGCCCACGCCTGCCTGAGAGCATGTTTTTCTCCTCCTGAGATCCCCCACTGCCTATCTTTGAAGCTAACTGGAAATGTGGGTGCAGAGCCACCCTCACCCGAGCCCCAGCCGCACCCCAGGCCTTTTTAGTTTCGCTCCCAAATTCCCTTAAAGAAGAAAGAGCTGCTTCCTTCCAGGCTGGTGGGGACAGGCAGGGACTTCTAGAAGCTCTTGGGAGCCCAGGTCCTCCTTTAACAAGGCCACGCGGTGACTTCCGGGGGGAGCCTTGGCTTTTATTGAATGCCCCTCAGGCCCCCCCGCCCCCGGGTGCCCACCAGGCCCCGGATTGGGCACCTTAAAGCCCCTTCCACCACCAGCAGCACCCAGGGCCTCTGCACTGGGGTGTCAGGTCTGGCAGAAAGAGCGAGCCCCAAGGTCAGGCTGTCCCTCATGTGGCCCCCCAGAGCCAGGGCAGGGCTGGCACTATCTCTCTGCACCGGCTGCTCAGCTCCCAGCCCCGTCCCTTCTGCCGGGCAGCTGTCCCCAGGCCACCCCTCTGCCTCTGCGCCAGGATGAGGCGTGGACACCGAGACCGGACTGTGTCAGCAACAGGTCACCAGGTACTTGGAGGGCCCTCTGGAGGCCGGGATGACAGAGGGCACAGCAGGCGTGGCAAGGTTTTCCGCCGCCCGCTCGGGGCGAGGAGCCCTGGTTTTCCACCCAAGTTGGTCCTCGAGGCTCTGGTGGCCGCCTGCCAGGCTGGCCTCCTGCTTGGTGTTTGTGTTGTGGAAGCCGCGCCTCGGCCAGGGTCTGGCACCCTGCCGCACGTGATCCCAGCACAGTCTCCCTCCCCTGGCGCCTCTGCAACACCTACCTGGGTGAAGGCTGCTCCTCCTTGGCCACTGCGCTGCGGCCTTGTCACCCTGAGTCCTGGGGACACAGCCCCAGTGCCCTCACCTGCCCAGGCCACAGGCCAGTCTCTCGCTGTAGGTTAAGCTGGGGGCAGAGTGGGAACTTTTTTATTTAAGAAAAACCACTTGTATATAGGGTTTGATTACCATTAGACTTGTATGTAGAACTTTTTAAAAATGGCCTTAATAAAATGACATGCAACCCACCTGGATGCGGTTTCCAAACAAGGCATGGGTGGGGGACCCCCAAGGGACCCTTGCCGGCCCCGCTTCCCATCTGTCCAACCACCACCCTCTGTTTTCCAGGTTCTCGGTGCAGGCAGGCAGGCAGGCAGGCGAGGGAACATCACCCTCTGCGCATCCCAGGCAGCCCAGCCCTGGAGGGCCTCCCCTCCTCCTGGGCCTGCAGGGGCGGGCAGGTGTGTGTGGTGTTTTTTCTGACCCCTCAATATCATTTCTCCATTGCTTGCTCCTGAATTGCCAGGACTTTTGGAAATGGGACGGCCTAAGGGAATCAGCCCTTTGTGATGTGAAAATGCTGTGATTTCGGAAGCGCTCCCAGCACGGGTGGCCGGGTCCCACAGCGCAGTGTACATAGACCCACTGCTGGTCGCTGTCGCTGTCCTCCTCGCTTGCTTGGGACAGGGTCCAAGGCCCGGCCAGGCCGCACCCCGCCCCTCCGGTGTGCCCTGCCCTGGCTGCACAGACCTCTTCCGTGGGACCTAACCAAGATGGGCTGCCCAAGAATGATACGGCCCCACCTGCCTCAGTTTACCTTCTGTCCTCCAGTTCCCGAGGGTGGTGAGTTTGTTCCCCCATGAGGCTCATCAGCTGAGACTAGAGTTTGGGGACAGCCCCACTCTGTCCTGATGAGGATTTGTGCTCCCTTGAGCGCTGCCTCTGATATCCCCCTCTCCAGTGCCACCATCTCCTGGGTTTGGGGTGCCATGGGGTGGGGTCTAACAGTGCGTGTGGCCCGCCCTGAAGGCGCTTAGCGCGGAGGGCCTCCCCATGTCACCGTGTGTCACTGGGTCAGGACGGCTCAGTCTTCCTGCTGGGGCTGGGGTGTCAAGCGTACAGGGTCGCTTGAAGAAGTTCACTGTGGCCCTGTCACAGGAGACAGGAGCAGGCCAGAGGGCCATGGGGGCCAGTGGGGCAGCCACCCTGTGTTGTGGCTGGTCTCTAGGGGGACTCTGGGGCCCCCCTTTGTCCTCCTGACCTCTGTGAGCTCAGGCTGTTTCCTTCCAAAGTCCTGCCCTGACCCAGGCTCCCTGCAGCCTGGGTACAGGCTGGGTGTGGGGAGCCCTGGCGGGATGGGGCCCCTGCACCCTCACTGGTCCTCAGGGGACTGCTGGCCAGAGGCTGTGGGGTTCCCAGTCAGTGGTACCCAGGTGCCTGGGGCTGGGTCTGGCATTCCTGTAGGTGGGACTCCAGGACATCTGAGAGCCTTGGCCCTGGACCCCTACTTCCTGCAGGGGTCTCCTGCCATATGACTTGGCCTTCCCTGTCACTGAGGCCTGAGCCAACCACATCCTCAGCTTCTGTGTGGCCTCCAGGGGTCCTGGCCAGGCAGGGGCTTGCATCAGTGTTGCTCTCAGACACCACTCCCCTCCAGGGCTAGGAAATGGGGTTGGATGCTGGGGTACTCCCAAGGGCAGCAGGACCTGAGCCTCAGATCCCTCCTGTGGTTTCTAGACCTGAGGGTCTCAGGGCACCAGGTGTCTCCTGGGCAGGGTGGAGGCAGGAGGCCCTTCGGGTGCTGCTCGCTCCAGACCTCTGTCTCCCTGCGCCAGCACTGATGAGGGGGTCTGTCCCTGGCTTGTGGGGTTCTGAGGTTGAGGCAGCCCACGCTGGGCCTGCCGCAGTGCCCGCAGGGAGCATGGGGACGTAGCTGGGCCTTGCAGCAGGCCCAGAGCGGGAACACAGGCCCCACCATGCCCCAGGAAGCCACCAGGCAGCTGGGTGGCCAGGATATATGCAAACTGCACGTCTGCCGGGCCCTGCCCTGAGGGCCCCTGCACCACTGGCTGTGTCCTCAGCATGCATGCACCGCTGCGGTGCCTCGAGCTCCAGCAGACCGGCAGCGGGCAGCTCAGGGCACTCTCCGCTGCCCCTGCCCTGTCCTCTGCGTGGACGCTTTTGTCTTTGTACCTTTGCAGCCTTTGTAATGAAATGTAATAAAAATCCAATGTTTTCGTCTCTGCCTCTTCCCCTTCCTTCCTCCCTCGAGTCCCAGCTACAGGCAGGGCGAGGTTGTTCCCTAGTGGCCACAGGCAGGCACAGACATAGGCCGCAGAGCCGGGGAGGGATCTTTACACCAGCAGTGGCAGCAGATAGGCCCAGAGTCCTGGGGCGGATGCTGCAGTGGGCATTGGCAGGGCCCAGGCTGGGGAGGAGAGTGAGTGAGCAGTGGCAGCGTCCCCAGGCAGGGCGGATGGTCCCGGGCAACGCACACACTGTCTCCTCGCAGCAGACCACAGCGGTGTCCCCACACGTGCACTTTATTGCCTGCCGAACCCGCCCTGTGCCCCCCAGGCCACCGCAGGTCTGCACCCGGTGCCTAGGCCTGCTGCAGCCGCTGGGCCTCGTAGTCCTCAGGGATGGTGTCTGCAGGAGAGAGGGTGGTGGATGACAGGGTCCGCGTGGTGCCGGGGGACGTCCCCACGCCGCCTGGGTACCCTGCTTACCGTTGCAGCGGTAGCGCAGATTGGCCCAGATTATGTTCTCCTGCGAGAAGCAGAAGACTCCCAGGCGGCCGCCCCTCATGGTTGTGTCCAGGACCACATTGCTGTCAGCCACTAGCTCTGGGCCCTCATAGAACCGCACCCTGTGGTGGGGGGACACTGAGGCAGGGTCCTGCACCCAGCCTGTCCCTCTCAGCTTCAGCAGGCAGCCAGGAAGCGGGGACCCTCCTCCCCGCTCCCTTCCTCTGGGGCCCGGTCAGGTGGGATCAGAACAGGGGAGCCCTGACCTGCAAGAATGGATGCCAAGGACCCTGCATACAGTAGGTGCTAAGCAGTGCACCTAGGCACCCTAGCAGTGTGGAATGGGGATCACATTCTAGTCGAAGGCCCAGCGGGTGCCGGGTCGTCCTCAGCACACAGTCATGCCCAGGGCCAGACAGGCTTTTGTTTTTGTTTGATTTTTGGTGCTGGGATTGAACCCCAGGCTGCCACATTCAGCTCCATCCCCAGCCCCTCCTTCTAGACAGGGTCTCACTAAGTCGCCCAGGCTGCGCTCCCACTTGGTATCCTCTTGCCTCAGCCTCCCGGACTGCTGGGATCACAGGTGTGCACTGACATCCTGCTTCAAAGCATTTGTTTGACAGATACAGGCTCAGAAATCCCCTTTTCCCCTGGCACTGGGGTACAGCAGGGACCCCCCACCCGTGTCCCCAGCCCCACCTGATGTAGCCCACTTGAGGCCGGTGCTGCAGAAACCAGCGGTAGGACGTCTTGTCCTTCCAGCCCACGTTGCGCGGGTCCTTCCACAGCAGCCGCACCTGTGATGCCGTGTCCCCCGTATGCCACAGTGCATTCCGCAGCTGCTCCCCGGGGCCCGTGGAGGACTTCACAGCCTGCCGTTGTGCAGGGAAAGGGGTCAGAAACCTCATGGGGTGCCAGAGCCCCAGAACCCTGTGGGGCCCTGGGATGGGACGGGGAGACCCACAAGAGGCCTTGGTGGGGCCAAAGAGTCTGGGTCTGTGGACAGGTCGGCAGGCCGGGGAGACTGGGAGTCTGCAGGACGAGGATTTGAGGCCCCAGGGCCTCAAACTTAGGGCTCTGTGAGAAGCTTTAGGGACCCAAAGGAAGCTTGGGGCCTTTGGGGTATTTGAAGGCTTGGGGAGGAATGGGGAAATTGGAGCCGGCCCCCCAGGGGAGACAGAGCTTTGAGGTCAGGACGGCCAGGCTGGGGACAGGGACAGGAGCCTCTAAAGCCTTTGCAGGTCGCAGGTGGGACCTTGAGCTGGATGCCAGGCTCGGCCACAGCCCGGAAGGGATTGGCCTGCCAGTACGTCTGCTCCATCTGCTTCCACATGACCACGTAGAAGCTCGAGCTGTCCTGGTAGCCAAAGATGAAGCCTGCGTAGTCATCATCCGTGGCAGTGTTCACGTGGAACGTGCCCTCGAAATCCACGCCGTGGAAGGCCGTGTAGCCTACAGGGGAGAGTGACGGTCTGGCTCCTGCCCTCTGACGTCCCCGCCCCCTTACTCAGACCCCACCCACAGAGCCAGCCACACCCACCTGCGGTTGACCACGCCCCCAAAGTCCACCACCTATGGAGCCCAGACTCCACCCCACCCTTCCCAAGGCCCCGCCTTCCCCCTCTACAGCCCCGCCCCCTGAGCTCACCCACAGCCAGACCGGGATCACTGTTCATTGTCTGCACGATTTCCATTCCCTGACAAGGACAAGGAAGGAGGGCTTCCGGTCTGCCAAGGCCCTACTGTTTCTGTCCCCAGCTTAGGCCCCTATGGGGGTCCTGTGCTGCCCCAACCCCCCACCCGGGCCTGGCCTCTACCTGATTGAGCACCACCCAGTTGGGGTCAATCTGCGCGTCACCCTCGGGGTCCAGCACGACAGTCTGGAAGGCCCGGAAGTCGGTGAGAGTGACCTCGGCGTTCTCCGGACACACGTCAATCTGGTCTACCACCTTGTCAGCATCGAAGTCACCCTGGCACTTGTCACCCACACCGTCCCCTGGGAGGAGATGAGGCAATGTCCCCAGTGGGGTCAGATCTAGACCCCACCTCGGTCACATATCCACCCGTCCTGCACATGCCACGCCCACCAGCCTTGACCACCCACACCCGCGCGAGACAGTCTGCCCGTACCCCCCCCCCACCGCAGCACCACGCCCACCGACTCTGACTCACCCACACCTGCACTGCAGGCTCGCCCAGACACTGCCTACCCACGGCTGGCACCGGCCCTGCCCTCCCTGCCACATGCCCTGCCCTTGTCCTACTGTCCGTGTCCTCCTGGCCTCTGTTGGGCACCACGCGGCAGTTGTCCCGACGGTCAGGGACTCCGTCGTTGTCATCATCGTCATCGCAGGCATCGCCCTGGCCATCATGGTCTGAGTCCGCCTGGGCACTGTTGGGCACCGTGGGGCAGTTGTCCCGAGAGTCCTGGTGCCCATCCCCATCTCTGGAGTGGGTGGGGGACAGAACGACAATGAGGTACCCAGAAGGGCTCACCAGGG